GAGAGAGAGCAAGCTAATGTTTCGAGTCTAGATAACTCTGGTGAAGAGTCATCACAACTCAAACTGTTAGCTTGTTCCATAGATGCTGTCTGATCCACTGTGATCTTCAGCATTTTTTGTTTTCAGTCACGGGTGGAAGTAATCTCTCCTTTTGCTATACCAAATGGTTTAGACCAAGTCAGGTGATACTATTTGGGTTAAAGAACATTCAGCCAGAGAGTGCAGAGGCTTATGAATCAAGTCATAGCTGGAGTTTGTAACAGCGTAGTGTATTAGTTGTAGTTGCAGTTTATTCTGACACTTGGAGAGAGCATGTAAGAGAAGTTGAAGACCTGTATAAGCAATTGCAGTTGCCTGATTTTGTGATAAATTTAGAAAAAAGTGAATTTGCAGAAACAAGGGTGACTTGCTTGGCACAATGAGATGGACTATTAGAAATGCTGCTTAGGACAGTAAAAGTGAAGGCTCAGAATTCCATGTTCCTAAGACTAAATGAAAAGTGATTGGCTTTTTCAGAAAGTGTGAATTATGCTGGACATTTGTGCATGCTTTCACACAATGGTTGTACTTTTAACAAATTTGTTAATAAAATAAGCACAGGTGTTGTGTTCAGTAGACTGTCAAGCAGTATTTGACAAGCTGGAGGTCACTTTAAAAAAATTAACCAGTGTCACTGCTTCTGATCTTTCCAGATGTTTCAAATGGCAGTTGAGTGTCTTTTGGGGGTGGTTGATGTCTTGTTGCAGAATGGTGAGTCATGATTAGAGAAGCTAGTCGAGAACTTCTCTAGGAAAGTAAATCAGTATCAGAAGAAGCACTGTGCCATAGGAAAAAGAGACTTTGGGATTGTTATTAACTCTTCAGCATTTTGAAGCCCGTACTTGACATGGAAATAAAGAAACATTAATTTACGTTGACCATAATCCACTAGCCTTCATTGAAAAGTTTAAAATTGAAATGCTAGATGGTTCAGACGGACTATTCTGTTACAAGCATTTCGTGTAAAATTGTTCATTTTAATGGAAAAGATAATGTAATTGTGGATGTGTTGCCCCGAATGTTACATATTGAAATTGGTTAAAAATTTAGGGAATACTACGACTGTGTAAGTTGATATAGAAGTGGTAGAAAAATAAATGATATAAGTCTTGTTGTTGTCTATTACATATTCATAATTAAAAATGGAGTTTCATTTCTTTAAGGATGGAATCATGTAACCACCAAGTATTTTTTATTTGTGTCTTTAAAATATGTGTACTGCAAGGAGAAAATAAAACTTTTCTAAAACCAGGGATATATCAGGATGTATAATTTCCCAGCAAGGAATGCAGTACATATTGTGAATGCTGCTTTTTTGTGGCTGTGAGTTCCTACAATATTTAGATAGTCAGGAGCTGAGGAGTTGTTTTCAAATGAAGCTGATTGGTTCTCAACTAATTGAGCAGGCTGGACCTGTTCAGAGCTGGAGATAAGCTAAAGAGACCCAAAGTCACAGACAGAGAGAGAGAGAGAAAGAGAGAGACTCACTCTGAAGGGATAACACAGTGTGGAGCTGGAGGAACACAGCAGGCCAGGCAGCATCAGAAGAGCAGGAAGTTTGACATTTTGGGTCAGGACCCTTCTTCAGAAATGGGGAGGGGGAAGGAAGCTCAGATTAAATAGAGAGAGGAGGGGTTGGGCTGGGGAAAATAGGTGAGATGGTGATAGGTCAGTGCAGGTAGGCAGTGGTGGGGATTGGTCAGTGAGGTGGGAGGAGCGGATAGGTGGGAGAGAAGATGGACAGGTTCTGTCAGGTCAAGGAGGCGGGGATGAGAGGGAGGGTTAGTCAAGGGATGAGGCTGGGGGTTGGGAGATTTTGAAAGTGGTGAACTTTGCATTTAGGCCATTGGGCTGTAGGCTCCTGAGGTGGAATTTGAGGTGTTGCCTCCTCCAGTTTGCGAGTGGCGTCATCGCCAAGATGAACATTTCACCCAGGGAGTGGGAGGGGGCGTTAAAATGGTTTGCGACCAGAAGGTGATATCGTTTGTCGTGAACAGAACAGAGATGCTCTACAAAACAGTGTCCAAGCCTCCACTTGGTTTCACTCACGTAGAGGAAGCCAAATCCGGAGAAGCAGATGCAGTAGATCAAGTTGACAGATGTGCTGGTGAACCTCTGTCTCATGTGGAAGGTTTGTTTAGTGTCTTGAACGGAGGGGATGGGAGAGATGTAGGGGCAGGTGCAGCACTTCCTGTGGTTGTAGGGAAAGGTGCTGGGGGTGGTGAGATTAGTGGGGAGTGTGGAGCATACTAGGGCGCTGTGGAAAGAGCGGTCCCCACTAAAGGCAGACAGGTTGTGGGGTCGGATTGTAGATGGCAGAAGTGGCAGAGAATGATACGTTGGATATGAAGGTTGGTGAGATGATATGTGAGGACTAGGGGGAGGGCAGAGGTGCGGGAAGTGCAAGAGATACGGTTGGGGGCATTTTCAATCACCAGAGGGGGAAGTTGCAGTCCCTGAAATAAGAGGACATCTGGAATGTTCGGGTGTGGAATGCCCCATCTTGGGAGCAGATGCAGCAGAGGTGGAGGAATTGGGAGTAGGAGATTGCATTCTTGCAGGAAGGTGGGTGAGAGAAGGTGTAGTCTAGGTAGCTGTGGGAGTCCATGGGCTTGAAATAGATGTCTGTTTGGAGGCGGTCATCAGAGATGGAGACAGAGAGGTCCAGGAAGGAAAGGAAGGTATCAGAGATGGTCCAGGTGAATTTGAGGTTGGGAGGAAAGGTGTTAGTAAAGTTGATGAACTGTACAAGCTCCTCATGGGAGCATGAGGCAATGCCGATACAGTCATCACTGTAGCGGAGGAAGAGGTGGGGCTTAGTGCCAGTGTAGCAGCAGAAGAGGGACTGTTCCACGCATCCTACAAAGAGGCAGGCATAGCTTGGGCCATGCAGGTGCCCATGGCCGCCCTTAAGTCTGTAGGAAGTGGGAGGAGTTAAAGGATATGAAACCATTCATAACCTCATCACCTCAGGTGACTTTCCACCCTCAGCCTCCAACCTCATCGTTCCCCAACCTCGCACTGCCCGTTTCTATCTCCTTCCCAAAATCCGCAAACACGACTGTCCCAGCCAACCCATTGTCTCCGCCTGCTCCTGCTCCACTGAACTTATCTCTGCTTACCTTGACTCTGTTTTCTGCCCCCTGGTCCAGGAACTCCCCACCTTCATCTGGGACACCACCCATGCCCTCCTCCTCCTCCAAGACTTCCAATTCCCTGGCCCCCAACAGCTCATCTTCACTGTGGACTTCCAATCTCTGTACACATGTATCCCCCTCGCAGATGGCCTAAAAGCCCTCTGCTTCTTCCTCTCCCACAGGCCCAACCAGTCCCCCTCCACTGACACCATCATCCGCTGAACGAAACTCGTCCTAACCCTTAACAACTTCTCCTTTAACTCATCCCACTTCCTATAGACTAAGGGGTCGAGAACCATTTTAACTCCCCCTTCCACTCCCTGGATGACATGTCCATCCTGGGCCTCCTCCAGTATCATAATGACGCCACCCATAAACTGGAGTAGCAGCACCTCATATTCTGCCTGGGAGCCTAGATCCTGATGGCCTAAATGTTGAATTCACCAGTTTCAAAATCTCCCCACCCCCAGCCTCATCCCATGACCAACCCTCCCTCTCATGCCTGCCTCCTTGACCTGACACAAACTGTCCATCTTCTCTCCCACCTATCTGCTCCTCTCACCTCACTGACCAATCCCCACCACTGCCTACCCACACTCACCTATCACCATCCCACCTACCTTCCCAGACCCACCCCTCCTTTCTCTATTTATTTCTGAGTTCCCTTCCCCCTCCATATTTCTGAAGATGCATCCCGACCCGAAATGTCAACTTTCCTGCTCCTCTGATGCTGCCTGGCCTGCTGTGTTCCTCCATCTCCACACTGTTATCTCTGACTCCAGCATCTGCAATGCTTACTAGCTCTGAAACTCTGAAGGGTGTGTGCTGTTGTTCTCCCCAGCAGAAGCTTCCTGTTCTCTGAGTTTAAAAAAACGGTCAGTTTGAACTTGAAGAAAACAAGTTGCCTTTTCTGCAGCAGTTTCTGTGAGCTCTAACTTTTGAATTGATTAATCAAGATACATTTTCCAAGTGAATAAGTTTTTTTTTCTCAAATTCTTATAAGCCGGTAAATGCTTCCAGAGAAAAATAAATGAACAAAGTTGCTGGAAAAGCTCAGCAGGTCTGGCAGCATCTGTGAAGAGAAAACAGAATTAACGTTTCGGGTCCAGTGACCCTTTCTCATAACTGATGGTGGCTGGGAAAATGTCAGTTTATATGCAGAAAAAAGGGAGGGTGATGGGGTAGAGAGTAAACAGTAGGATATAGCCCAAATAGAAAGAAGAGCAGTTGGATAGACAAAGAGTTGATAACGATCAGGCTGGGAGGGTAAATAGTTGTTAATGGGGACTGTTAGTGACTAACAACAGATAGTGTGTAATGGCAGGGTATGTGGTAACAAGGTCTGGTGTGTGGGGTGGGGGCTGGGACATGGGAGAGTTTAGGCCCAAAAATTATTGAACTCGATATTGAGTCCGGAGGGCTGCAGGGTCCCCAAGTGGAAAATGAGGTGTGGTTTCTCCCCAGTATCCAAGGGCCCAAACTTACTTTCCAGGTGAAACAACACTTCACCCGCACTTCCCAGAATCTAGTCTACTGCATTCTACAATGTGGTCTCCTCTACATTGGGGAAACGAAGCGAAGACCAGATGATTACTTCGCAGAACATCTACGTTCTACTTGCAAAAAAGACCCTGAACTGTTGCCTGCCACTTTAACGCACCACCCTGTTCCCTGACCAATATGCCTGTCTCTGTCTTGCTGCAGTGTTCCAGTGAACCTCAACACAAGCTGGAAGAACAACGAGACAACAAGGTGCAGGGCTGGATGAACACAGCAGGCCAAGCAGCATCATAGGAGCAGAGAGGCTGACGTTTCGGGCCTAGACCCTTCATCAGAAAAGCTTTTCTCCAGCATCTGCAGTTCCTACTATCTCTGGAAGAACAACTGCTCACTTTAATACCTGAGACCTTTCATGGAGTAAAATGTTTTTAAAAAGCAAGAGGCACTGGCTTAAAATGACTGCAGCAAACACTTGACCACAGATTGAGGAAAGTTCAGAAAACCAAGGAAGAAGAAACAAAATGATCAGAACTGAATTTACTATTTTACCGACATTGGAACCAGTCACTGAGCCTTGTGACAAAAAACTGGCATCTCCTGTTTCAGTGTGTATGTGGATGGTAAGTGGCACATATTTGGATATGAAACGTTGTTGAAATGAACTTGTAAGAAAACAACAAATCTTCCCCAATGTTTCAGCAATCTCTAAGACAGTAATGAGCTGTCTATCATATTTTTCGATGGATTAACTTGAAAAAGATAGCCAATGTATTTTAATGAGGTCACCTGGCAATCTATGACAGTGATAATGTAAAAGAATGTTAGAACAGCAAATACTTGAAAAATAAGCCAAATCTAAATTAAGCATGTAGTTTGAGAAGTTACTGTATACATAATTTTTTTCTAGATTTGAGCTGATGTAGGCATAATTTTCTGCTTCGCATTGTTCTCAATAAAGGAGTAGAGCTCTGTAAGTCAAACAGGAAGATGATTTCAGTATGTATTTGTCTTGGATTCACTGGGAGATCATTCATATACATATTAAAATTTTATTGCTGTGCCACTGTTAAGCATCTTAGTTTCTTGTGATCAGAATGAGATGTGGAATTCCAGAAATAGGGGTTAGAATATCACCTGGCAGATCAATATATAATATTCGAAATGGGATATACCATCCCCCACCTTGTTTTCCACTGTTCAGGATGTATGTTAAACTTGAGGGCCAGCATGTTATGATATCATGCAAATAGAGGAAACAGGTTATATTGGCCGTTCAGAATTCCTACCAGCATTTGGGGAGTATTTAATTCTGGAATGACCAGTTTCTGTACTACAATTGACTCTAAAGCAGTTGATGAAATTACTGGAATGAGCCTATTTGAACATTCAATTTGTTTACTTGTTTAATTTTCAAATTTCTGCAGAAGTCGCACCAGATTAACTAATACTGCAATATCACACTGCAGGAAGTTTTTATCTCTCCTTCCCTACCCTCCAGATGGAATTTATAGATAGTGCTTGAAAGTAATAAGTGAGTGAAATTCCAGCTTAGTGATCACTCATTACCATCTTGGCTTGGAGAATGTCAGGTGTTTTTTCAGTTACGAGTGGTGTACCACAAGGATCTGTTCTGGGTCCTCTTCTATTTGTGATTTTTGTAAATGATTTGGATGTAGGAGTGGAAGGGTGGATTAGTAAGTTCACGGACGATATGAAAGTGGGTCTAGTTGTGGATAGTGCGGAGGGCTGTTCTAGGTTACAAAGGGACATTGATAGGATGCAGAGCTGGGCTGAGAAGTGGCAGATGGAGTTTAACCCTGAAAAGTGTGAGGTGATTCATTTTGGAAGGACAAACTTGAAAGCAGAATACAGGGTTAAGGGAAAGATTCTTGGCAGTGTGGAGGAGCAGAGGGATCTTGGGGTTCATGTCCACAGTTCCCTGAAAGCTGCCACCCAGATGGATGGAATTGTTAAGAAGGCGTATGGTGTGTTAGCTTTCATTAATAGAGGGATTGAGTTCAAGAGCCATGAAGTTATGCTCCAGCTATACAAAACCCTGGTTTGGCCACATCTGGAGTATTGTGCCCAGTTCCGGTTGCCTCATTACAGGAAAGATGTGGAAGCATTGGAAAAGGTGCAGAAGAGATTTACCAGAATGTTGCCTGGAATGGAGGGAAGATCTTATGAGGAAAGGTTGAGAGAGCTAGGGCTTTTCTCTTTAGAATGATGAAGGATGAGAGGTGACTTGATAGAAGTGTACAAAATGATCAGAGATACAGACAGAGTGGATAACCAGAGACATTTTCCTAGGGTGGAGGTAGCTACTACGAGGGGGCATACTTTTACAGTGAGTGGAGTTAGATGTAGGGAAGACGTCAGACGTAGGTTCTTTACTCAGAGAGTGGTAGGGGCGTGGAATGCATTAGGAGAGGGTAGGGGAGTCGGCCTCATTAGGGGCATTTAAGCAGCTATTAGATAGGCATATGGATGATAGTAGAAGGTAAGGGTGGAGGTTAGATAGACCTTAGGTTTAGGGTAAACATTAAGCACAACATCGTGGGCCGAAGGGCCTGTACTGTGCTGTACTGTTCTATGTTCTATGTTTTTACCTTCAAAAGTGCAAATACTGTGTTTGATGTACTGCACTGGGATCACTTTCCAGATAAACGATTAAATGGAGGAAACACAAATTTGAAAATTAGTAATATGTTCCCTAGAATTTTCCATCCATTGAATTGAATACATTGTATAAAGCGTAATACTCCACAGCTGCAAATAAGCAGTTGAATTAATAGTTGGTTGACCAGGAATATGACATTCTGTGTGTTCTAATGTGCTTTCAACGTTGGAATCGGTTCAGGGCTGATCTCTTTATAACTGGTTATTGTAAAATGAAATTTCAGGCTCAAAAGTAACCTGTACTTCTTGAAGAATACATCGAAGTCATTCATATTTTTCAATCTTTAATCCAATTTGAAATGATTTACATAGCAGTCTCGTGGCAATTTGCTCATGAAAGTACAGAAGCTGGCTTAGTGATTCACACTCTGCACAGTTTCCGTATTCCCAATGAGCGGTTTGATGAGCTTGTGACTGTGGACAAAACTGAATGTTTGGGAACATTGTGGAGCATCTTTCACAAAGTGCCCTGGGACTAAGCATCCAAATTCTCTAACTTCTGTGACAATTTGAAGAACCCTGGGCACTGGCCTATTCCCAAATCTAGCCAGAATACGATCAATACGTTGGTTTCCCTGAGTGCTTTGTCCCAGAGTGTATATGCTAAATGTCACTGAGAGCACATTAGGAGGAAATTCGAAAGCGTGTTCATTATATTCATTGCCAACACATACTGCCCAGCTAATGTCTTTGTGCCATGTGTAGGAGCATAATATATCGATCATTATTTCTATCTGTATTTTTCCTTTATATGACACTGAAGCACCAAAGTAATTGGATGTTCTCTTTGTAGCGCTGTATCATAAAAATAGCAGAAGTTGATAACTGTTGATACAAAACTATTTCCACATGGTGTGTTGTTCGCATTAGTAACATCCGTTCCATTTATCTGCAGCAATAAACATTTCAAAACATTTTCTTCATTTCTTATTCCTTCAACTTCAACAATCTGTAAAACAAAAAGAATGAACAACTAAATTTAACAATTTACGTTTCTGTAACTCATCGAATCATAGAGATACGTCGAATGTCAAAAGACCTGTCAGTGTAACTCGTCCATACTGACTAAGTTTCCAAGACTAAACTCGTCCAATTTACCTGCATTTAGCCCATATCCCTCTAAACCTTTCCTATTCATGTACCAGTCCATATGTCTTTCAAATGTTGTCACTCTATCTGTATCGACCACTTCCTCTATTCATTCCACATATGTACCACTCTCTGTGTGGAAAAAGTTTCCAGTCAAGTCCCTTTTAAATCTTTCTCCTCTCACCTTAAAATTATACATTTAAATTCTGAACTCCCTTACCCTAGGGCAAAGACCTTTACTTACGTGCCTTATCAATGCCCGGCATGATTTTATAAACCTCTATAAAATTACCCGACAAGCTCCTACATTCCAATGAAAAGTGTCCCAACTTATCCAGCCTCTCTTTATAACTCAAACGCTCCAGTCCCAGTAACATCCTGGTAAATTTTGTTCTGCACCCTCTCCAATTTAATAATATCCTTCCTATAGCAGGGTGACCAGAACTGGACACAATACTCCAAATGTGGCTTCACCAGCATCCCGTACAATCACTACATGATGTCCCAACGCTTATACTCAATGGTCTGAGCAATGAAGGCAAGCGTGCCAAAAGCCTTCTTTACCACCCTGTCTACCTTTGATACATCCTTTCAAGGAACTGTATCTGCACCCTTAGGTCTCTTTTCAACAACTCTCCCTAGGGCCCCACCATTAACTGTGTAAGTCCTGCCCTGGTTTGCTTTACCGAAATGCAACACCTCACATTTATCTAAATTACACACCATTTGCCACTCCTTGCTCCATTGGCCCAACCGTTCAAGATTTCTTTGTAACCTTAGATTACCTTCTTTACCATCATCTCTACCATCAATTTTGGGGTCTTCCACTAACTTACTGACCTTCTTCCTATATTCTCATGCAATCATTTATGCAAACATGACAAACAACAGTGGACCCAGCACCGATCCCTGTGGAACACAGCTGGTTTACAGTCCTCTCGTCCAAAAAGCAACCCTGCACCACCACCCTTTGCCTACTACCAACAAGCCAATTTTGTATCCAATTGGCAAGCTCTCCCTGAATCCCATGTGATCAAACTTTAATAACTAGCCTACAATGCGGAAACTTGTTAAAGGCCTTACTAAAGTTCATGTAGGCAGCGTCTATCGCTCTGCCCATCATCTATCTTCTTGGTCACATACTCCAAAAATCAGTCAAGTTTGTGAGACATGATTTCCTACAAACAAAGCCATGCTGACTATTCCTAATCAGTCCTTATGCATGTAAATCCTGTCTCTCAGAATCTCCTCCAACAATGTACCCACTAATGACATCAGACTCATGGGTCTATAATTTCCATTCCCAGGCTTCTTTTTGCAGCCTCTCTTAAATAAAGGCATAACATTAGCCACCCTCCTGATCTTTAAGGGGTCCTATTCTCTCCCTAGTTGCTCTTTTGCCCTTAACATACTTGTTGAATCTCGTTGGATTATTCTAAATCTTATCTGTCAAGGCTATCTCATATCCCCCTTTTTGCCCTCCTGATTTCCCCCTTAGGAATGCCCCTACTTCCCTAACACTTTGCAAGAAATTCACTTGATCCCAGCTGTCTATACCCAACACATGTCTCCTTAGTATCCTTGACCAATGCCTCAATATCTCTAAATCATCCATTATTCCCTACTCCTACCAGCCTCACCTTTCACTCTAACTTGAACAGAATGCCTCTGAACTCTCGTTATCTCACTTCTGCAGGCCTCCCACTTGCCAGTTGGAGCTGCAGGAACACAACAGGCCAGGCAGCATCAGAGGAGCAGGAAAGTTTACGTTTTGGGGCAAAATCCCTCCACACAAACCTGACCTGTTGAAAAGACATACATTTGTAAGAAATCAATATCTTCTCTCACTCATTTTATTACTGCCCCATCTGCTTTGCCAGGTCTCTTCATTCTGTGGGCTGTTTCCCTTAGTATCTTAATCTAGCAAGAGATATACTGGTTCAGCCAGGGTCCCATTATTCCATGTTAATTGCATTTTTACTTTAGTACAAATGTTTCTGTTTACATGAACTTGTTTCTCATCCTGATGGCATTAATTTGGAAATGATTCAACCTCTCAATCTGATGAGTAGTTCTCATCTCTGTTGCAGAATTGACTATCTGGCCATCAGAAAGTCCAGGCCAATGTGCAGAACTAAGGGGAGAAAGCAGGAGAATGGTTTTAATTCACGATGCTCATTTGGAGAGCCAGACCAGAGATGATGGGCTCAACCACCTTCTTCTGTGCTGTTACAATTCTGAGATTCTACGTTTACAGCTTTGTTAGTGACAGAAAAGTTATATTTAAAATGTTTGTTTTTTCAATTTTACAGATATTGCATGTAATCTTATTTTATAGCCATTGTGAGTTACCATATGCAACAGAAAAGATAAGGCTGAAATCTTTGCAAGTGTCTTCAGCCAAAACAGCTCAATGGATAATCCCAAATTTGTACCCAAGATTCCTGCCTTCATAGAATTCAATGTTCAGCAATTGGTTCATTCAATGTAATATAAAGAAGGTGTGGCATTGCAGAGTCTAAGAGGCTCTGAAAATATCTTGGCTGTAGCCTTTAACACGTAATGCACCACAGCTAGTTGCTTTCCCACCTAAGCTGTTTCATTATTTATCACTTTACTAATATTACGACAACAGATCAGAAGTTGTCATTTATCTCATCACTGTTTATGGGATTTTGCTGTGCACACATTTCATTGTCATGATTTCCTACGATGCATCTATAACCACGGTTTGGAAGTACTTATTCTACTGTGAGACCCTTTGACATACCTGAGGTTATCAAATGTAGTTTCAAATGCAAGGCCTTTTTCTTTCCAGGACACTGGAACCAACCCAACAATAAGGAAGATTGTCTCCTCGTGACCAAGCCACAAAAATCAAGATAAATCTCACAGGCCAATGAAAGGCATATGAAGCAACTTTTTCACGCAAAGGGTGGTGTGTATGTGGAATGAGCTGCCCAGACGACGTGGTGGAGGCTGGCAAAAATGACAAAGTTTAAAAGGCATCTGGATTGGTGTATGAATTGGAAGAGTTTAAAGGGATATGGGCCGAATGCTGGTAAATGGGATTAGATTAATTTAGAATAGCTTGTTGGCATGGACAATTCGGTGGTAGCTTCTGTTACCGTGCTATACATCTCTATGATTCTGTCACAGTATATCGAATTTAGGGAGATGAATTCCTGATGGGTCTTGTATATTCATATTTTTTGACAAATATCTGTTCTTTCCAGCAATTGGTGTAATTAATATCTCCAAATCATTTTATGGCTCAGATCATTTGAGAATCGAGATTCTTCTTGTAATCAAACACTCAGTACTGACAATAAAATTATTTCCAGAAACTTCTCTTGCCCAGCAAATACTCCTGCAAACTGAAAATGTTGTGATAGTTGTAAAATGTTAATAGCGTGGGTTAAACTCTTTGCTGAATGGAAAAGAATTGAAGAATGACAGAGACACATCAGCATACGAAGCTATGATTTAATTCCACAAATTTTCACAGATCAGTGTGAAAAATCCATAATACATCTTAAAGCCATAATACATCTGAAGTCTGAACAAATTGTTTTATATTGTTCTGTGTCATTTTTAAAGGAGCCAACATTCATAATTCATTCATTTCAATTAAAAGATAAAAACAGACTTTATGCATACATTATATACCACATCACAATTCCAGGTCAGAAATTTATTGACAGTTTTAAAAACAAGTTTAATCTGTGCTCAATGTTAACAGCTTTTAAAATTTAGTTTGTTCAATTACCAAATTGCCTGCCTGCAGGATGCACAGTGCATATTTGGGCAGCCATACTTTGTGATGCAGTAGGCTGTAGAAAAGTAGACAATTTGCACTGCCAAATATGGCACACAGAGTCCTGTTTAAAGTCCATTGCCAATTTTCTGTCCAGTACATTGTAACTTACAGATGGAAGTGTAAAACTCCACAGCTACATAGGTCAGCTTGATTAATCACCAACAGCTTTGTATCAATATTGCCTTCTATTTTGGAATCTCTCCAGTGTAGTAATCTCTATTCATTTGGATCGTAAAACTCCAAATGATATCCCACATTAAATCCTAATAATTTGAGATCTTTCTTAAGTCTTTCATAATTTGAATTAGTCACCTCCATGAAATACATTAAAATGTGTGTGTCTAAGCATTCTAATTTTTCAACAACCTGCTGGATAGCGTACAGAAGCTGGCTTAGAGATTCACACTCCGGACAGATGCCAAATTCAAAATATGGATTATTACTGACCTATATTATATCACAACATCTTTTATAAGGTGAACTTTCATGAAAGTTTTATGGGTGAACCCCTGATGACAGCCCTGGTGTTCTATCTACAGCAGGAAGCTTTAATCTAACAGCTTCACATCGAAATTCAGGAGGAAACCGAAATGGTATTTTATTAAATGTTTTGCCGATACATACAGCCAGGCTGGTGTACTGGTGCTATGATTGACAGCACAAAATATCAATCATAATATCTTTCTGCTGCCTTCCTCTAAGTGACACTAAAGTACCAAAATAATTGTCTATTTTTTCTCTGGTAGTAACATCCCAAAGGCAGCAACAGCTGATAACTTCTGATGTAAAGATGTTTCCCAATTTGTTGCAACTGGTGCCAGTAAATTCCACAAGCATCTGATGATTTAGGTCTGTTAGACATTTCAAAACTTCATTAATATTTGTTCCTATGATCTTAACAACATGAAAAATAAATGTATACCAATTATTAAAGAAATAAATAAGATGCATTTAAATAGCATCTCATAACATTACGATAATCTAAAGCCCTTCAAGATCAACAGATTACTTTTGAGGTGTAGTCACCTGTAGACAAACATACAACAAGGGTTGTACAGAACAAAGTCCCACAAGCAGGAATATATTATGATCCCAGTTGATGATAAAACTGGACAAGTCCTTTATCAGTGTGAAACCTGGCTTGATGGGCCATGAGTTTTATATTTTGCTGATTGGTTACTGTGATGGTCAGTCACTGAAAATATTCCCAAAAGGCTGCTGATGCACTTTTTAACAAAAGAACATCAAAGTTCATTATGCACGAAAGGGGAAATGAAACAAACTATTTAACATAATATAAGAATGACTTGAAATGGTCTTATTCCAAATATTCACAGCAGATTCAATCCTTTTCACATCAATAACAGCCTCACAGATATGCACAGCTCAATAAGGGTCACTCTGTTACTACTTTAAAATTCATTGTTCTGTTTGCATGGCTGTAACTGCTATTGTTTCGTCAACCTTCTGCATTTACAGGATGCTAATTCTTTGGTCAATACCACTTCATGGAAGTGTTAAACAAACTGCTAATACAGTTCACTTATTTCCGACTCATGTTCGTTAAACTTGTGTCATCATCTGCCTTGTAAAATGATATCCCCTCTAACACTTTAGAGTCTTCTGTTTCTGGAATTCTTGCCCGATTTTCTAAATCACTCAGGGTTCATTTTCTTCTGCCCTGACTGTTCTGGAAACTGCTAAAGTGCATGCTAAAGTGACATTCTAAAGGTCTCCTGTGGTTAATTCTGCTCCACAGAGATTATTACAGTTAATTTGTAATGTCCAATAGCAAGTTCAGACATCTGAAATGATTCCTGGCCCTGGGTGCAAAGCAGCCCGGCAGCACCATGGCAATGTAAAGTACTGATGAGCTCCAAAGGGCTGTATTGAAGTTCCAAACTGTATTCTAAGTCAATCTGATCTGTGCCATAATGATGTGGTGGGGCTGGCGCATTGCTGATGCCTGTCTCTGCAGATGAAGGCTGCAGTTGGTCATTGACCATGAGCGTGCACTGAGATTTTGGGAATTGCTGCCCGAGATGGATTCTCACAGAAGATGGCAGCAGCTGCCAGGATCTCACATTTATGTTGTGAATTAGCACTGTCCAGTTTCTCCCTGCTGCCTGGGAAAATAACAACTTGCCCAGAACACAGATTGAGATTAGGCATTAATGAGATGTTAGTGCATGCAATTAACTTGCTGCTCATTCATGACATTTTCGTTTAGCCACTGAAACCATGGGTGGAAATGCAGACTATTTTTCTCAACAGCGAGAATCATTTTTCCATTCTCACTGTATTTTTCCAACTGTCTCGCCATTGCCTGTTTCATTCAAAGCTGGGGACAATTCCACCCAAATTTCCTAATATTAGTAATACGTCATGAACCTTCACCACAAATAAGGAACAAAAAAGGTGGAATGTTAACCCCACCTTGTAGCCACAATGGGCAGGAGATAGTCATATTGGAGGGGCCAATAATTGCTGCTGCAATGTGTGTGGCCCAACCCTATTTCCAGTCTCTGAGTTCTGAAGAAGAGTAATGTTGGACTTGAAACAAGTTTCGCTCTTCACAGATGCAGCCAAACCTGCTGAGTTTCGCCAGCATTGTCGGTGTTTGTTTCCTATTTCTGTTTTATTCTGGTTTCTCTACTAGGGGTTGGTTAGTGGCTGAGTAAACACACCCTGGGCGTGAGATAGATTCAAGCTTATGATATTTAATAAGCTGCATTGCTCAGATTGTGGTAATCATTAAAATTTAACAACTGGCTACTGGATTTTCCCCAGGTTAATCCGTTGTGCTATGGGACAGGCTGCTCACCCGTCCCTCCCAAAACAATCTTAGCCATTTAAATAGCACAGGACAAAAAGTACTGATGGTTTCGTACTAGATTGTAGCCCCAGCTCCCATAGTTCTACCAGCCCATAGGGCTGCTCTATCATTTGAGAGAGATGACTGGTGGTGGTTTAATCTCTGGGCTATCAAACCTCAGGTGAGGGGAGTGGTTGAAGGAGATTCCTTCATGGCAACCTCAGATTGTGCAGGAATTGAACCCATGATTGTTGGCATTGCTCTGTATCATAAACCAGCCATCGAGGAAATTGAGCTAACTGACCCCCTAATCAAGTAAACTGGACTTTTTTCTCTGGACTATATCATTGGCTGCTGAAATAAGATCCTGGTGCACTTCCAGCTGTAAACCCTGCAACTGAGTCATGTTTGGCGTGCTGTAAGCTTGCATAAGAATATTCAGGGTGTGAGGTGAGCAAGGATTAAATAAGTGCCCCCAAACTAATTGATTATATAGTTCATTTCTGTTCTCTAACAGCATCCCTCAATGAAATGCTTGAACTTACTGCATCAAGTAGCACTGC